TGAGAACAACTTCGTTTCAGTACGAAAAGGAATGCGAAACCGTGGACTGCGAAGCCGAATGGTTCGAAGGAGAATGGGAACCATGTTCCCAAACTTGCGGCGACAAGGGCGTGCAGTATCGCGTAGTGTATTGCCATCAGGTACGTGTTCTTGCACAAACGTTGAAAGGATCAGCCTCTGATGATTGCCTTCATATTTCTTCCAATGATGACCACCTTTCTCCAATGGATTTTCTCGAATACAGGTCTTTGCCAATGGTCGACGTATCACCGTCGAAGACGGCAACTGTACTGAAGAGCGGCCTGCTGTGCAGCAAGAGTGCAACAGGTATGCGGTAATTGTGATTGGCAGTAAGTACTCGTAAGTGCTTTGTGGCAGGTGGAACTCCCTGCACCTAGGCGCACGAACCTCCTCGCTCCAGTCGCATTTTGTGGGTTCCCAGCGAAGGGGTCGTATGAGTCTCTGAAAAAGATGCTTTGGTTTTTGACTTTTCTCGTTTTTCTTGTTCAAGCGCGCTATGGATCAGCGTCCACTCCCGCCCTCCTAATGGCAGTTCTTCTTTCGGAGGTGGCGGGAGGTGGAGGAATTCATGGTAATACTGCCAAAAAGTGGTAGGAAGTTAGGAGAATCCAGTAAGATGATAGGTTGGATGGGCAAAGGGGAATGGAAGAGGTCGTATCACAGGAGGAGACTCTGGGGGAGATAGTGTTTTATAAACTTTGAATTCAACGGCAGGACGTGCCTTCCCATGTACCTTTACAAAGCCTCAGTCTTTGCTGACAGCACAGGTGAGTATCCGTGGGAGACAGGACCCATAATGCCTTCCTCATTGGCGTGCCCATAATCTTTACCGTCTTGGGAGGAGCGTGCAAAACGTGCAGAGAAGAGAAAGGACGTGCCACTCAGATTTTATCACAAAAGTAATTGGTAGTGCCAAGGAAAAGTGAAAGAAATGGATGAATTCTGAATTAGAACCGATTCCCAAATCCTTTTCAGATTCGCCTGTCCTGAATGGCAAGCAGGACCATGGTCAGCTTGCTCTGAGAAATGCGGTGATGCATTCCAATACCGCTCGGTGACGTGTCGATCAGAAAAGGAAGGCGAAGAGGGCAAACTACTCCCGGCTGACGTAAGTAATACCATGCAAGTACACCGAAATTTAATGGCTGGTTCAGTGGTAACTTTCACTCGTTCATATAACCTCAGTTCTGGTCCCTGGAGTCTTTCACCAGTCACCATAAGATCTATCAGGCCACGTTAGGCTTTTTTCAGCAAATACCTAGTCGGTTAAAAAAGTGAAGCTGTCGCTCTTGCGATTCAGATGAACCAGCTGATGGGCTGCGCTCCTACTGCCCCTCCCTCCCCCCTCTTTCCCTAAAAGATACGTAGAGATGCGATCAGCGACACCGGGCTGCTGAAGTTGATGTACTATCGTCGCCACGATGTCTATAGTAGAAAAATTGACTTCTATCTGATACCTTTCTCGGATTCCCATTTCTCCAGTTCCACACTGGAAGGCATTTGATAAGTGAATTCGTATTCATTCCTCGGAAAGGATTTTCTGAATCCAAAAAAAACAAGGGACACCAGACAAGACCTGAGCTTTCACAAGGAAGAAACAGAATTTGTGAGGCTCTGGCCCAGTCAGGAGCTTCCTGCCGTTGGGAAATTTTTGCGAATTCTGCCAAATAAGCCCTCTCCCTACCCTCAGTAACCGGACGCCAGAAAATAGAGCCTCTTCTGCTTCGCTGGACTACCCCCAACGCACGATATGCCCTGGGTCCAGACAACACCTGAGCCTTACAATTTCGTAGTGTGCTAGTTGGCGCATCTATCTACAATTTTTCTCGTTGCTGATACTGGAGCGTGTCAAAGAGGCTGGGTGGGCGCGGTGCAAGCCAGTCAACCAATTGATGAAGAAGGCCAAGCAATTAATTAATTACAGTTTTCTACTTTTATGGCCATCTTATGGCCGGTGGAGTGGGCGGTGGCAAGTGACCCGCTTACCACGCGTGCGGTCGAGGTTCAAATCCCAGGTCGTCTCCCGCTCAGAGGAAGAACCATACCTTCTACTCTCCACAAACAGTAAATTGTGACTAGATCCTTCTGGAAACAACTGAAATGACTTGTACATCGGCTGGCCCCCGCAAGTCATTGTATAGGCCACATCGCATTCAATAAGCCACTACGATTCTGAATGGAAGTAGAATGCGTGCCGCATCCCACAAAGGGATTGATTAACGGTGATCCTTTATCCTTTTATGGCCATCTCATGAAGGACTCGTGGTAAGCAGACACCGTTGGTCAAGCGCTGGAAGTCCTAAAGCATCTAGACCCTTCATCAGCCCCAACCCCTAGTAGGCCACTTATCGAGTTTTGCCCTCAGCAAGCGGAACTCTGACTTTTAGGTCACAATTGCAGAAATTCAGAGTCTTACAAACGCGAACGCGAGAATGTGTTGTTTGTTTTTTCGTGGCTTTTAGAAGAAAAGAAGAACGTGCTATTTAAGGCATGCGGTTCGGAGAACATTTTGGAATCTGAACGACCCTGCAATCTTGGACCGTGTACCGGCCTCAAATTCTTCACATCAGACTGGAAACTGGTTAGTTGAAGAATATTGCTTTGATGTTCTTAGCTGCAGTGGTCCAATCTACATGGTAAGCAACAAAATACCGGCTTAATGGATGAAAAATCATGTTTCAGTGCTCGAAATGCAATGATACCGAAGAGACCCGTGAGGTGACTTGCAAAGACACTCAAGGACGAGCTTATCCTCTAGAGAAATGTTTGACAGATGATGAGAAAGAGATTCCTCCAGATACCAGGTACACACAAATTCCACATTTTTTCGGCGCTAGCATTTTGGTCTACCCGTCGGCAGTGGGGTCAAGCAGCATCGGGAGCCCAGCCAGCGGCGCACAAGTAATGAGGACACCATTTTATATACGCCTGCGTCTTCATCAAAGAAAAGTGTCACGCTCTAGTCGATATCCCAAGGATCCAATTTGTTCCAATGGAGATCGAGTCAACAACATGAACTTGAGACGCTACAACCGTCGGGACAGCAACTGCAACTGGCGAGTGCGGCAGGTTTCCGCATTGCTGGGCGAATGAGTGTGGGGGGGGGCAGTATTCTCAATAAGAAATATGTGAACAAAATATGAATACGCAAATATGAAACATATCAAATCCTGTTTTGGTATTATAACACATGCCGTTCTACCCTTGTTTAAAAAGTGCCCCGTCTGGCGTACATATCCACTATTTCTGCATTTCTGGCCGAACAGCCTCACGTCGAGACAACAAGTTTTGGCTCGGTAGGGGCACTCGGAGGTGCGGCGGCGCCACATATCTGCTCGTTTGCGCCCTCTCGATAGATTTGTATTCTAATAATTTAGACGCTAATCTGACAATGGCGCTGACGCCTTTTCCGAAGGGAGGCAGAGCGACATGTCAGGCAAAACACTACTGTCCTACTTGCGCAGAGTTGGACCCCCCCCCCACTCAAAATCTCCCCTCCACCTTCACCCTGCCTCGAAACCTGGGACAATAATGGAATAACGTTTGATAAGATTTTGCCTTCAGAGCATGTGCCACGCAACAGCCGTGCAATTACGAGTGGACGGCCAGCCAGTGGTCAAAGTGCTCTACCGAGTGCGGTCATGGCCACAAAACCAGACGGGTAATTTGTGCTATCCACGAGGAAGGCGACGTTACGGTAAGACATTTTCACAGACTATATCTTATTTGTATATTGGTTAATATTAAATATTGTACAATTAAGGTGGTCGACGAAGCACTGTGTCAAGGTGAAAAGCCTGAAGGAAAGACCAACTGCACTAATGAGGAGAAGTGTACCGGTACATGGTACAGTAGCCCGTGGTCACCATGCAGTGCAGAGTGAGTCAATATTGTTGCAGTTTGTCGCACATAAATATGCTACCGTCGTTCGACAAAATTCCGAGAAATCTTGACTCCCATAGGCAGGTTTGACGCTATTCCAGTCAGATGGGGTACCGTAATGGGCAGGTTACTGTGGTACTGCCTTTGCACGATTACTGCCTTGATGGTAAGGCATTTGCTAGAGCCAAGTGGACAAGGCAGAGATGCCATGTACAAGTGGGACGGTGACTTACCCGCAGAATTCACGTTACCGTAGGATCACAGTCTTGTTCGCTGCGAATGCTGGGGCGTGCTAGGGGGCTAAGTCTGGAGCGGCGCCAGCCAGTTGGTAAAGTGGATAAGCTACCACCCACGTGGCGGGGGATTATTGGGCAGCACGGGCTTTTGCAATAATTCTGTTTTCAGTTCAGTTCTTCCTTTCTTTGCAAATCATGATAATTCTTCAGGTGTGGAGGAGGAACTCAAGAACGTGTAGCGGTGTGCCTCAACTATGATAAGAAGCCGGTTCCGGAATGGTGTGACGAAGCCGAAATGCCTACTATTACCCAGGACTGCAACACCGATGAATGTCCATGTGAGTCCGGAAAGCTTCATCTTTCCATGACTATCAAAGCGATGTCTTGCAAAGCATTCCTTCTTCTAGTTTCTGAACATTTAACGCATAGTGCGCGCTGATCACATTGGTGAAGTCATGCCTTCCGCAGTGTACGCCCCTCTGTTATACACTCCACCGAAGCTATGAAACATAGTTATGTCATGGGAAAAACAGGCCCGATCCCACCGATACTGGTTGCGTGGACTGTGTCTG